GTTAATGGTATTTCTCCAGTGGAATTCTTGTTTCCTGGTGTGAAACTAGGAACAGATGCAATATAGGGATGGCTGAGTCTGACGTCTACCTGTTGCATAAAAGGGAGCAGTCCAGATCAGTAATATCCCTAACAGTAAACAGGTAGCTACTTGGTCAGACATGCTACCCGCTCATGCTCTGGCACCCATATCCACCAATCATTCGCATCTGAAATCCACTGTTGACTCACATACTTTACTGACAGTTGTGGTACTGAAAGTGGTTTTTATTTTGTCACAGTGTCTCCACCACCATCCCCAAGGTCTCATCACCAGGGTTTCACTCTTGCCTTGCTTTCACTAAGATCTTGGTCTAGTTTCTCTCAAGTCTTCCTGCTTAGTGTGGGAAGCCCCCTCTCTCTTATTCTAGTCTTATAGCTGTTGACAATTTGCTAGACCATGTGTCTGGCGTTAAGGTAGCTAGAGGCCAGAAGGAGCTAATGTAGTGTCTAGAAAAGACAACATTTAAGTTAATGCTTGGACTACTTTACTATCAGAAATTGATTTATATTAATTTACATACAAATTGTGAGCAAGTTCTTTCCCCAACTCTGTCTTTAAGCTGAATTTATTTAAATCAAAGCAGCTAGGTACGATTTGTATATATAGTATATCTTTTCTTGCATAAAAAATTAAAAACTACTTAGACATATACTATAATATCTATAAATAATAATACAACAATAACATTTTTTATTCAAATTGTAGAGCACTGTTCATTTGTTGTTAGGAACCATTGTATGTACCTTAAATTTTTAACATGAAGACTTTATACGGGCTGGTTGTCAACTGAATTGTACATTCATAACTCGGGTCTGCCAGTACGTGTGTCCTTAGTCATTCTTTCAGCAAACGTTTAAGCAGTATTGACTATGTGTCAAAAAATGTGCTTATTACTAGAAATGCAAAAATAGGTGAGATATCAAAAGCATGATGAATGGCAAGCAGTTCATTGAATCCAAAATATTTCTGCACAGCTGGACTGAAATGCATGCTCTGAAACAAGGGAGGCAGTAAGTGTGAAAAAGTAGATGGAGGTTCCATCACGGGGAGGCCCTTCCTCCAACTGAAGCATTTTTAATAATAGTAGAAATCAATGGAGGTTTACAGATTCTTAGTTTGAGCTAATGTTGATCAGATTTGTTACATTTTATAGTACAAAAAGGCTATAGACTTCAATATGGATAATGTCTTTAAGAAACAAAAATCCTCACAACTGAACCAATAAACAACATTATTACAAACAGATAAAAGATTAAAGGTGTCAAGGATTTTATTTCATTTGGATCCATAATGGAGTCCACACCAATGTGAGCAGCAATCAAGAAATTAAACAACATACTGCATGGAGAAATTACTTAGATTTATTAAGGGCTTTCCATTGTTGATGTGAAAGCAGTTTGTGAAAAGTCTGCTGTCAGGGACATCTCTAGAGTTCTGAAGAGCAACAATGTCAGTCTGGAGACTAAGGTGTGCCTGATCCAGGCCATGGTCTTTGCAATTATGTGCTATGCATCAGAAAGATAGACAATGACTAGGGATGATAGAAGGAGCATTGATGCCTTTAAGCTGTGGTGCTGGAGAAGAGTATTGAATATATCATGGAATGTTAAGAGAACAAATAAGTTCATCTTGGAGAGGGTGAAACCAGTCTGCTCCTTGGAGCAAGGATTCTGAAGCTCCATATGACATTCTTTGGACATGTTGCAAGGAGGGACCAGTCCTTGAAGAGGAACATTATGCTTGGGAGGGTGAAGGGACAGGGTAGGAGGGGAAGACCCTGAGTAAGATGGATTGACTCAGTGACTGGAGTAATGGGGGCAGGTGTGTTGGGGACAATGAGGTTGGCTCAGGATAGAGCAGGGTTCAGAGCTGTTGTACATAGGGTTGCTATGAGTTGCAGGAAACTCAACAGCACATAACAACAACAACAACTTGAAAGCATTGAGGAAATTATTCCGTTATTCTTTATTGGGTAAATTTTCCTTACTTTGCACATAATTTGATAATCTAAGGAGAAGTGTTGTTTGTTTGTTTGGTGGTGTTTTGTTTTTTTCCCCCCCAATTTCCATTTTAGTTATTAAAATAGGAATGAGTGTCTGTAGTAAATGTTACTACCACATACCACCCTCCCCTCCTTTGGACTCCATGAACTTGAACTGTTCTGGAAACTATTTAAGTATAGAAAGATGTGGCATTGTAAAAATGCTACTTCCAAATGTATATCCCCCCTTGATACTTTTCCACCCTGACCCAACCTACTGTTTATAAGTTGCTATAGCTTATTGTATTACATATCCATGTCATAACATGGTAAGCCATAGAGTAACATTTAGTGAGTTTATACATGCCAACTTTGAGGTACTCGTGATTGTAAATAAAAATATTTTCAATCCATTTGGATATTGGAAATCCCCTAACAAAGAAGAAAATTTACATTCTCTAGCACTCCCAGACAAAAAGCAATTGAAGAAGCCCACGACTGTTTCCTCCATCACCATATTAATTACATTAAACTCCCATTTTCTGAGAGTCTTGTAAAGGACATTATTTCTGCTTCAGATTGAAATTGATTTTGCTTTCACCTGCATTGCTCAATTTCTTCTAAAGGGTTTGGTGATGGTGGTGCTGAGGAGAAGAGGCCCTTAATGAAATCAAAGACAAAAATAAATAAAACCTGAGACATAGCATGAAAAAAAAAACAAGCTTCTCCAGTCTCTTTGGGAAGATAACAAACAAAGACACTGAGATGAGCGTCATTTAATCCAGCACTAACGAAAGATATGTGGAAATATGCAAAGTAAATATTAAAAAACATTAGAGATGGACCGGGGAAGAACCGTAGTGGCAGTAGATGAGGACTTGTTAGTTAACTCTCTTTTATGTATCCAATCTTTCCTAGAGTCATTTATTCTTATATTCATTCCTTAATTCCAAAAAGAGTTATTCTTAGGGCTCAGCCTTTTCCCTTTCAAAATGAAACCTTTAAATGTTTACCAAAATGGTTAGGAAAATATTAAAGATACCTTGAGAGTTTCTCCAAATTAGGTCTCAATTTTGCCCATTAAGAAGATCGCCATTTCTCTATGGAGAAACAAAATACATCCAAGAAGCCAGTCCATTAGGTCAACATAACATTCAGACTTTCCTCTCATGGTGATGAAAGTTGAATAAACACACTACCGATGGCTTAGTTGATTAAATTTAGTTTAGTGAATGCACTGATGTTTTAAAAACAATAATAAAATAGGCCAACTTTGGTTTTGGAGCCAGCCTACTCTCTCCTTTTACAAATCTTTTACAGACCTACTTGAAGAACCTGGCACCTTGAAGAAGGGCCATTTCTGAGATTGCAGGCCCCCTTCCTGGAAAGGCTGGGCCACGAGATGCTCACTGCTTTAACCAGGTAATGTCTTTCCCCCAGAGCCTCACTAAGGGCCCAGCAGGGTGGAAGCTGTGTGGGTGATTATGACCACACCACACTGGCCCTGTTAAGCTCATTCCATTTGAGTACCATCGACCAGAACATCCACTGCCCCCAATTAATTTCAAAAGAGTTCATTCTCATAAAGGCAGCAGAGATAAAATTCAGCCTGCCATAGCAATAAATTAACAACAAAGATTGCATCTACACTCTTCTGGTACTTTTCCCAGTATGGGCATAGCCCCCAGATCCCGTTTCTAAAGATCACATTGCAGGCTGCTGAAGAAACAGTAAAGATCAACAAAGGTAGAGATTTGGGTGGGTTTATATATAGATTGAGAAAGAGACAGAAAAAAGAAGCGCTGAGGTATTAGCAAGGGAAGAAGGGATAACTGTTCCCCAGAGAAGTTTGTCTAGCATCGAGTGCAGTATAGAGTTAGCAAACCAGCCACCTATGGGCCCATGCCTGAGGCTTTTCAAATCAGCACCATGCCAGAGGCAAAGAAATCAAAGGAGAAAAACCTGTTACAGCCCATGCAGCCAGAATGTGAGGGAGTGCTGCTGAAAGAGACATCCCAGGTGGAATTGATAAAGGGTTAGAGAGTCAGAGGTAGAGAATGATCTTGGGCGGAGCTAATTCCTGCTTGCTTCAGCTGACCAATGTATGGGTATGGATATAGGCCAGCTTTCGGCTCTAGATTTGGGCTTTTGTTGCATCTTCCTCTGCAAGAGCCAGAACCCAGAGCTTTTCATTTCTGAGAAATAACCACAAGTTGGAATTTTTGAATCAGTTTGGGTGTCTGGAATCTTCATTCCAACTAAAATCAAACCAAACCAAAACCAACTCGCCACTGGCATGTCAGAGGGGCCCTTCCGTGGGTTTTGTAGAGGCTTGAACTTTCACAGGAAGAGATTGTTCATTTTTCTCCTAGGAGCTGTGGGTAGATTCCACACTCCAAAGAGGCCTGACCTTTGGGTTAGCAGCACAACTCCCTAATGACCATGTCGGGAGCACTCCCTTCTGTCCAAACTACTTCCGCCAAACTAAACACCCCAAGGGGTTGCAACTTCATTGAGCTTGGTAGCGTGTGTTTAATAATCCATCTAATAAACACTGACTGCTTACAGACCTTTTTAGCCCAAGAGAGAATAAGTGTACATTCTTAGAGGAACACACATCTCCAGCCAGAGGAGAGACAGGGTTCCATGGTGGAGCTATGAGCAGGCCGCTTGGTGGAGTCTAGTCTTGAAGTGTTAGTTAAGAACACTTGTCCTCACTTCAAAGAAAGAGGCTGGCCTTCCAAAGTGGGTCTCTGGGTGCTTCCTATTTTTAAATCTGCAAGTCTAGCCTTCTCTCCCTCAGGTTACAGGCTAATCATGGAAGAAAAGGCTATGTTTGGCCTGAGTCAGAAGATTAGGAGCGGGTGATGAATTACGACGGTTACAGAAGGAGAACTTTTTAAAATATATAACTCAACAAATTAGCATGTAGGGCACACAATGCCATCTCTCCTCTAGGGAGCCAGTCGTTACCTACTTTCTCTGCTGGGCCGAAGAGCGCCGGGTGCAGACCACAGCCACGATCACCACGACCAGCACTGTGATGATGCCCACGGTGACGACGGTGATGACAAGCAGGTTGCTGTTCTTCTGAGGGGTGACGCTGCCATGTGGAGGGTGCATCTGCCCGATGGGTGGCTCTGGGAAAGACAAGCAAAGAGAGACTGAGTTTAGAGAAGTGATAATCCGGGGTTCACCAATATGTTGGAACCGAGAAGAGTCATGTTGTGCTTGGAATGGCTGAGAAGGAAAAAGGAAGTCTTGGAAAAGGATAAAGGTGGAGTTAAAGTACCTACACTCAAGAACTGGTGACATTCATCATCATAGCCCCCCAAAGGAATCAACACAAGTCCTGATCAACTGTTGACTGTAGAAAGAGATGCGGCATATCAAAGTAATGAAATATTTTGCAGCTGTAAATATGAATGAATACTAAAAATATTGCAACATAAATGGACTTTGGGAGTTTAAAATCAATTGAAAGAAATGCAACATAAATACTATATTTTTTTTTATCTCACTCCTGCTTTTGAGCTGTGGTGCTGGAGAAGGGTACTGAATGTACCATGGACTGCCAGGAAAACAAACAGATTCATCTTAGAGAGGATTAAACCAAGCTACTCCTTGGAGACAAGGATTCTGGGGCTTCGTCTGACATACTTTGGACATGTTGCCAGGAGGGACGGGTCCTGGAGAGGGACATCATGCTTGGGAGGGTGGAGGGACAGTGCAGGAGGGGAAGACCCTCTATGAGATGGATTGATTCGGTGACTGGGGTAATTGGGATGGGTGTGTCGGAGGCAGTGTGGTTGGCGCAGGATAGGGCAGGGTTTAGGGCTGTTGTGCATAGGGTCGCTATGAGTCGGAAACGACTCGACAGCACACAACAACAACAACCTGCAAAATGTGCAGGAGAGACAGATATTCAGGTTTTGGAGTGGGCTTCTGGTTGGCAGGAGTGAAGGGGGAAAAAGAAAGTTGTGAACAGCAACTGGGAATGACTTTGGTGTTTCTTTTTGGAGTGATAAAAATGTTCTGGAATTAGATAGCGGGGTGTTTGTGCAACCTTGCCAATATAGTTAAAGGCATCTGACTGTTACACTTTAAAAGGGTGATTTTTTTTTATGATATGTGAATTATGTCTTACAAAGGAAGAAAAGAGAACACCATTATGTGTCAGGTGGGAAGAGGAGGCTGGTACTTTGTACTGTCAGAAGCCCAATGAGATAAGAATCAGGCCGGGTGGTGCTTTATGAGAAAGAAGCATTGATCTGATGCAATGACAAACTGTTTGACAGCAAACACACTTTACTCCCATTTCTCTTAAGAAGTGATCTATAGAGCACATATAATTCTCAATCCCTGAAGGGGGTACCAAACAGTCACTGGGCTAAACAAAACATGCTCTCAAATTCCAATACAAAAGTTTTCTTGTGTTGTAATGCACCTTGCTGGAGAAAATATGTAGGCAAAAAGACCCCAGGAAAGTGGAATCTTTTCATTAAGGCTGTTGGAGTCAACAGCAATGCCCAGTTATCCTCTCAATAGTTTCCTTTTAACCCTTTGTCAGTGATCAGTTAGAAACGCTCTTTCCTGGGCATGTTTGTCATTTCAAGCTACACTCTAGAAAAAGGAAATGATTGCTTTCAACTGTTTTTAGAACATATATTGGGAAGTCACAGAGAAATTAGTTTGGATGCTTCCTGGGCAGAAGATTGAATTTTATTTCTTTAATAGTGTGCATTAGTTACTTTCTGTTGAGGAAATGTTTGCTCTGCCTGTGCCTCAGCGACTTCTACTGTAAAATGGAAACAACATATACTACAAACAGTCAGTAGTTGAATTAGAGGCTACCTGATCACAGCAACCCTTTTAGTAGTATCTAGAAAAGCGATGGGCTCAAGCGCATCAGAGATTCTGAGGATGGCACAAGGCAGGGTTCAGATCTGTCGTCCATAGGATTGCTATGAGTCCTACGCAACGTGATGGCACCTAACAACAACAACTCAAGATTAAAAACTCCTTGCCATTGAGTTGGAATCAACTCATAGCTGACCCTTTCATGGGTTTTTCAGAGGCTGTAAATCACACAGGAGTAGACCGCCCATCTTTCTCTCTCTCAAGAAGCAGTAGTCAGTGGATCTAATTCACTTGCCTTTGGGTTAACATTGCAACTCTGTACTCACTAGGCCCCCAAAGTGCCCTATAATTAAGTTCCGTGATGAATGCTTGGGAGAGTTTTGGTGCATATGCCTTAAGCATTTTTTTTTCAGCTGTGTGTATCTCTTTTGGACTTCTCTATCTTTAGGGAATATTGTGCTGATCCAAATGGATTTTTCCCCATTTTTTTAAAATTTTATATGCATTGTTTATAGAGCAACTTGGTTTTCTGTTTAACAATTCATACGCCTTTTGATTCAGATACTGATTGCAGGTTCCACAATGTGATGGCAGGTTTTTAGCTTCCACTCTGGTTTCTCATTTCCTTTTTCCCACCTTTCCTGCTCCCTCTTTCCTTCTACTCTTTAACATGGGGCCAGTGCTACCCTTTTCATACACCTTTTGATTCAGATACTGATTGCAGGTTCCACAATGTGATGGCAGGTTTTTAGCTTCCACTCTGGTTTCTCATTTCCTTTTTCCCACCTTTCCTGCTCCCTCTTTCCTTCTACTCTTTAACATGGGGCCAGTGCTACCCTTTTGACCCTATGTGGATAGTTATTCTAAGGATTGTGTAACTTTCTGGGGTTTTCAATTTCTTCATATGCATCTGGACGTTGGATAGTCAATAAGGAAGCATGAACAGAATCTATCCCTTTGGATTCTGATGTTGGAAAAGAATATTGAATGTGCCATGGACTTCCAAAAGGGAAAAACCCCAAATCTGTCTTAAAAGAAGCATAACCAGAGTGCTTATTAGAGGCAGGGATGGTGAAATGTCATCCCACATATTTTGAGTTTATTGTCAGGTGAGGGCTACTTCTTGGAACATGACTTCATGCTTGAAAAGGTTGGGAGTCAGCAAGAGAGAGGCAGACCCTCAATGAGATGGATTTACATAGTGACTATGACCATGGACTTCAGTAGGGTGGAGATCATGAGGTTGGTTCATGATACGATAAACTTCTGATCCGCTGTTTATAGTGTTATTAGTCAGAGTTGACTCTACAGCACTGATGTTAATCTTGTAGACATATCTACTGTTTGGCTCTTCTCCAACACCACAATTCACAGGCATCAATGCTCCTGTCATCCTTGTTCATTGCCCAACTTTCAGAACAGAGTAAACAATTGGAAAGAACATGGCTAGGTTCACAAATATACGTTTTGAAGAAAGTGTAGCCAGAGTGCTCCTTGGAAGCAAAGATGATAAAGCTTCATCTCACATATTTTGGTTGTGTTGCTAAGGAGAGGCTGTTCCTTGGAATGGAACATCATACCTGGAAAAGTGGAGGGTTTGCATAAGAGAGGAAGCCCTTCAACCAGGTGGATTGACACAGTGACTGCTGCAATGGCCTTTAGTGTGTCAGGAGGTGTGAATATGGCTCAGGATAGGACAGGGCTTATGTCTGTTTTTCATAGGGTCGTTATGGTTCGTATTCAACATGATGGCACTTAACAACAACAATGGGTTCACATCTCTTGTTCATAGGGTCATTATGAGTAAGAGTTGACCTTATTACATCTAACAACAGCAACAAAAAAATAGTATTATTTGGCTGAAAGTTGAGCTGTAGGGGTGAATAAGGTCAGTTGTAGACCTGAAACAAATTTAAGGTCCGCAGTCGGGTATTTCACTAGTCCCTATCAGTAAGTGTGGCATTCTTCATGATTTTAAGTTTTGTTCACATTTCCCCCACTCCATCCAGAGCCTCTACTGGGATCTCTTTCTGGGAAGCTGGCAGTGGTAGCCAACTTCTGATATATCTGATTCTTTATGTCTCAGGGTCACGGAGCCTGAGTTTCTTATGGTCCATTAATCCTTTGCTCTAATTGTTTCCATGTATCTTTGATTTCATCACTCTTATTTGCTTCAGAAAAGGACAGGTTAATAGTTAAACCGTAGCTGGCCCAATGTATTTCAGAAATAATATGCAATATGCCAAAATATATTACATTCACAAATGAATGTAATCACTATTATTTGTCTTTCTATTTTGAAAGGTATGATGTCTAAGTCTCAGCGCTTTTTAAATCTTAAATAAATTATTGCTGATTCATTATTGTTGGAAAACTAATAAGCATTTCTGATATAATTGAATCTCTGGGGGAGGAACACTTCAAAAGTTTTTAAATAGTGCTTACCGTTAAAAGATTCTGACTATAAATGGAAGAAATGATATTTCCTTGAAATAATTTTTACATTTACTAGAAAGGAATGAGGCAAGTAATGAAAGGTCAGAACTTTCTGTATCATAGTTTTACTTACTATTTAAAAAGTCATTTCACAATAGTGTCTTAATATGCCCTTTTGTGCCTAATATATTCATTTATTGAAATAAACTAACCTTTTATGTGAGAACTTACATTAGAGATAGTTGGAAATCTCATAGATTTTTATTACTTTGACTTAAAGGTAATAGTTCATCATTTCTGACAAATTTAGTTTAAGTTATACATAGCAGTGCACCTTATGAACGCTTTAAAAAGCTGGTAAGAGTGAATTATTCAAATTTCTACTCATTTCTTTCTTCCCACACAGGAGGACATTGTGTTTCAAATCAGAAAATAATGACTGGATTCTACTGAGCATTAGGGAGATGACATTAATGTCACTTGCCTTGGGAGAATTTGAGTTCATGAAGACTCCCATTAGATATCTATCTTTGACTTCAGGCCTCCCTGATTTCCTCATAAAAGGTCCCATCAATTTCAAATCTGGTATCAAGGTCTTTCATTAATTTCTGTATCCCAATGCAAAGGCTGAATAATCAGAACATTTCACAGCAACCAGGCTGTAAAGAAAGTCAGGTGTTGTGATGCCTTTTGTATGAAGTACACTGAAGGTATGTTCCGAACTAGGAGAACTCCTGGAGTTCTCAAATTTAGATTAAGGCAAACTTCAGAGGGGGCAGGGTGACATTTACCAATTTTGTAGTGAACAAGCTGCACAGTGTCTTTGAGTAACCTGTATCTGAAA